TGAAGCTACGAAATCTATGCATTTTATAAGAAAAATAACTTCTTAACAAATCCCAAATCATTCCTAGTTGATGAAACCATACTTGACTGGTCCAAATACAAAAGCCTAAGAGGAGTTAGAGGACAAACACGCAAACAAACTTCTTTCAAATTAAAGTAGGATACCATCAAGGAAGATAGCACATAAATACTTCACAATACATACAAAAATCCAGAATACTAGTTACACAAAAACATATTACAACAAAGTCTGGGCTTGGAAAAAAAATTCTATCAATTAACAGATCCCAACTTTTTTACCTTTATAAAAAGTACAATTTTCACACAAAATACCATTACAAGCTTTTATCTAAAAAAATACCATTTCTTCTGAGTCAAAAGATATAAATTAAAAAAAACAAACAAGCACACTGAGATCAATGCAGAACACAGAAAATAACGTTTTGAGTTTTAGTTTAATTTCCATACAGTATTATGATTCACTAAAAATTGAAAATGACAGTGTAGCATTATTGTTGACAAAAAATATCCAGCTGATACTGTACTATGCTATAAAACCTACTGTTTAACACACAGTAAACATACTGCTAAACATCATGCAGTTTTAACAAACTACAACTGGAGACAGATGTGTTCATTACTTAACTAATATTTAGGTTACAACACCAGAAAATATGAATCAAAATACTTATGATATTCAAAAGCATAAGGGATCAACAGAACAAAATTTGAATCAGAAAAGAAACTCCGTGTTATTAAGTTCTCATGTTAAAAAATCTCCCAATAGTTCTGGATATTACTTCTTGCACAAACAAACCTAACTGTAGGCCATTCTTATTTTAAAACTACTCTTTCTCTTTCTTTCCTATCACTCACATATCACATATGCAATGTTATTTTGTAATTAATGCCATATTCATAGCAATGTGAAGTGTCTCAGTTTTGGTACAACCAGATTATAACTGGTCAACATGCTTACAATGGTCATTTGCTGTTTACCCCAGACGAAGGAGAAAACCACTTTCTGAAAGCACTTGGGATATTGGGTTCATTTTCTAAATCAAAACACTCAATTATATATTATACACTTACTCATGTTACTGTATTTCCTAAACTGACATACTGAGATTGTATGTTATATATTCTTAAGATGTGGTTGCATGTAATACATTTCTACTATGAGATACTGAGATTTTATCCCATATACTTCCATGATGAGATAGTTAAACGTTAAGTTTCTTCTAAGAGGAGATACTGAGATTGTACATTATACATTTTCTATGATAAGATAGTGAAACTGTATATCATATATATTTCCAACACGAGATACTGAGATTCTTTGTTATATATTTAAATACTAGGTGTATATCTGAAGATATCTATAGTGAACTCAAAGTTCCCTGCGAAATAAAAACTTAACATTCTACGTAAATTATACAACTTCAGATGTTTTACATTTTTTACCATCTAAGTTTTATTAAAACTCTGAAATGACAAGAAACAATTCAATGTATTTATACCATTTTCAATTGACTAGAAATCCATTCAAACATATTATTTCTGGTTCCCTTACCTACAAAATAGTAGGTAGAGCTAATATAACCCCTGTCTGTAATACCAAAGAAAGAGATGCATGCACACTAAAAAATCAAATATATCAGTTTTGTACGTCATTAGTGTTTCAGTTTTAAAATTACTGTTAATATTTTTTTTGTTAGACACATTTAACATCTAAATTTTGTGCAATTTTATACTACCAAATCTCACATGTAAATAATCATGGTATTTAATATGGCAATAATTAATCATGCACATTTATGACCACACTGTGCGTGTGAAAGGAATTTCTATGAACAGATCACAGACTTCATTTTAATTCACTGTGCACAGTAGTGTTAAGGCCAAGCAGTGATTGGAAGTCTGGTGAGTTTTATTAACAACAATGGCTAAATATGCAACAGATCTTCATGCAGAGTTTAGCCTGTGTTTTACCATTTCTGCACAACTCCAGCGTCGTTCTCTGTCTATTCTTCTGTCACCAAACTTGAAGAACGTATAGATAACAGACCAATTGAAAGAAGTGTGGATTTACAGTTTAATTACTATCATGAAATTATTGTAACAGTTTGTCATAAAACAAAAAATTTCTATTTCATAAAATAACACAACCGCAATCTAATCTTTTAATGTTTTTTTTTCTTGATGATGTATTAGTTACAAACATTTCATGTATAATTATTTTATTATTTACTTCGTAGATACTTTACTAAGAACAAAACTTTCAAGTAATAAACATTATTTCAACATGATAAAAAAAATTACAGTAATTTCTCAGTAAGCAATTGTAATAGAATGGTACATTTTTTTAAGAAATACATTCTGATTACATTCTTATTAAAATAATTTATTAACTTTAGCCATTAACTCTTATCTCACCTTGAATAAGAACGAAATTTATTTCCAAGATGTTTAGACTCATAATTTCCCCAAACTTATATAGTTACATCATGAATTACTGATGTAAAAATTGTGGTTACAAATGAAAATGAAGGTAACTGTACAATTTCACAACTCTTCTGAGAACACAGTATAAATGCAGTTATGTTTCACACAACATTATATTTAATTCAAATCTCTTCATAGAAGTGGAATACTTGAGTTTTCTATTAAAGATCAAATTCTTATAATAATTTGCAAACAAAACTGAAAAAATCATAAAATATAATTTATTTTTGTTTAGTTATTTGTGGAATGATGCACATGATGAAAACAAACCCATTCAAAGACAGTATTAAAACTGTTCAGAGATTTTGCCTGATGCTTATTAATTTAACTTCATAAACATTGCTCCAAACATCTCAGGTGCAAAAATGTAAAAGGTTTTTTTGAAGACCAGTAAGGAAACTACACAATGCAATTATCACTTCTGTAATGGTAATATGGAGGTATCTACTTTGATTGTAATAGCACGCTTATGTATGATGTTTTTAATGGTTAGGGTTAGGACACATCTACTAAGTATCCTTTGAAAAAACTTAAGATTCCCTTATATCATTAAAAAATTTCATATAAGTAAACAATTTACTGTTACACTAAACAAACAAATGAGTAACTAAATATTCAAGAACAAAATGTTTTGAGCCATAACTTGGTAAAATAACATAACTCAAGCAAAATGTCTTTATAACAATATAAGAAGTTATTCAAACTTACTGAACATTTTCCAATCCTGTTGTATTTCTTGAAATCTTCCTGAACTTGATAAATGTACAGATAGCTGTCATGGGAACCAGCAGCCAAGAGTTTACCATCTGAAAAAGAATTTTTTAATTCACAGTTAATACAACTTTACTTTTATAAAAGAGGTCACATGGTGTCATTATAAAACAATAACAATGTGTTAAGTTTGGAAATTAAAAATAGTTTTAATATATAAAAATGTGGGAGAGGAAATTGTATTAAACAGAGCACATTCCAAAATTCAACACTGACATTGAGTGTTGATCCATGCTATTCTGAAAGTTAATTTTTGTGATCTTTGTCTTCCAGTATTGTTTCAACATTAGCTCAACACACTCAACAGCCAGATGTATTGAGATTAAAAATTTCAATAACAGCTTCTGTAAGAGATATGGCATTTGTGATAGGTGACTTACAATTTACTGTAAATGTGGATACAGCAATTTTGTTGTTTTAAAATAAAATCACTGCAAAAATACAAAGTTTAAATAGATAAAGAACAGTTGCTCCAAATGTCAATAGATAAAATAAGTTTGTTTCTGCTGAATGTTATGTTTTTTGCAGTGATTTTACTTCATTGCATTTACCTCCCAATGTTGTGTGAATTACAATCCTTCTGAAAACTTTTTTCTTTTACTTGATGTCCATTTTGGAAATGCCAACAATATCAATAAAGCACCCAGATTTACAGCCATAGCTGAACAAAAGTGACGTCATAGTAGCACCAATGCTGACAGTATTGTTGAATTTTTTTTAATGCATCCATACTTTGTACTGGCAAGTTGTGAAGTCTTGTCACAAAATATTTAAAAATTTAGTTTTGTTTGCTTTTAATTTCATGCAAAGATACACGAATGCCTATCTGTGCTACTGTTCCCTAATTTAGCAGTGATAGACTAGAGGGAAAGCAACTATTCAACACCACCCACCATCAACTCCTGAGCTACTTTTTTACCAATGAATAGCAAGATTGGCCATCACATTATAACTCTTCCACAGCTGAAAGGACGAGCACATTTGGTGACAGGGATTCAAGCCCGTAGCCCTCAGATTACAAGTTAAGCGGCCTAACACTAGGCCGTGGCAGGTCTTTTTTTCATTTACTTTCTTTATGAATACAGGAAGTATTTATGGAATTATAAATGAAACAAAATGGTCAAATAAAACATCTCTACATTTTTGTTGTAATAAAACTAACTTCATAACATTTACAAGAAAATATATTTCTCAAACAATATTTAATAATTATATTATCATCATTGTTATAAAAGCTCTTACCAGGTGAGAACTTAATGCAGTCAATTACTTGATTTATATCAGAATTAACAGTGTACACTTGTCTGGTAGCTGCATCCATCGCCACCCATCGTCCATTGACGGTTGCTAGTACGATAATGTTTCCGTCAGGGGAAAAACAGGCAGACTGAACTGGATCCTACAAATTTTATGCATCACTTAGATTGAATAATAAATTATATTTCTTAATATTTACATATGGTTACCATTACAAATTAGGCAAATAAGAAAATCAGTAGGAAGATTTGCTGAGATTTCTTAGAAACTGCTATAATTATAAACCTTATCAAATTACACAGTTGGTCAGTACAAAACCCAACTCAAACCTGCAGATTTACTGATGTTATATTTCCCATATAAAACATGACTCATACAAGTATCTTTACTGATGTTATATTTTCCATATAAGACATGACTCATACATGCATCCTTACTGATGTTATACTTCATATATCAAATATGACTCACACCTTCATCTTTACTGATGTTATAGTTTCTATATAAAACATGACTCATTCCTGCATCTTTATTGATGTTATATTTCCAATATAAAACATGACTGACACATGCATCTTTACTGATGTTATAGTTTCAATATAAAACATGACTCATTCCTGCATCATCAGTAAAGATGCATGTGTCAGTCATGTTTTATATGGAAAGTGTAGCATCAGTAAAGATGCAGGTGTGAGTCATATTTAATATATGAAGTATAACATCAGTAAAGATGCATGTATGAGTCATGTTTTATATTGGAAATATAACATCAGTAAAAACATCAGTAAAGATGCTTGTGTCAGTCATGTTTTATATGGAAAGTGTAGCATCAGTAAAGATGAAGGCGTGAGTCATATTTAATATATGAAGTATAACATCAGTAAAGATGCATGTATGAGTCATGTCTTATATGGAAAATATAACATCAGTAAAGATACATGAATGAGTCATGTTTTATATTGAAACTATAACATAGTTTCAATATAAAACATGACTGACACATGCATCTTTACTGATGTTATATTTCCCATATAAAACATAGGCATCTAGTATTCAACAAAACTCACCCAGTACCATAAACCAGGTTTTCTCAACTCATGACTCACCCAAGTACACACACACTTTTCTGAGACCCATACTCAAGTGTAAAAATGAATTACTGATCTAATAAATTTCAGTAAAGTCTGGTAGTGCTCTTATATTTAGTGTTTTTGTTATATTTATTCAAAAACATTTTAGGACCATTACTTTCTAAAATACAAGTATGTTTATGTTTTACTATATTTTGTTCTGCAACTCATCCTAATGCCTGTTGCAACTCATTAGTGAATCATGAGATAAAAGTTTGGGAACTGCTGCATTTATTGACATTATGTATCCTACATAAAATGTAGTTACCTGGTACTAAACACAGTTAACTCTCTATCTTTACTTTACACTTCCCATATAAAATGTAGTTATCTGGTAATAAACACAACTCACTCCCACATCTTTGTTGACATTATGTTTTTCATATAAAATGTAGTTATCTAGTAATAAACACAACTTACTCCCACATCTTTGTTGACATTATGTTTTTCATATAAAATGTAGTTATCTGGTAATAAACACAACTTACTCCTACATCTTTGTTGACATTATGTTTTTCATATAAAATGTAGTTATCTGGTAATAAACACAACTTACTCCTACATCTTTGTTGACATTATGTTTTTCATATAAAATGTAGTTATCTAGTAATAAACACAACTTACCCCTACATCTTTACTCCACACTACAGAATGAGGACATACTATCCCAAAGATGCACACTACCATCATAACCACCACTTAGAAACTGGTTTTGTATCGGGTGGATAGCAAGTCCCCACAACTCTTCTGTTTGACCCTATAATTATAATATGAATTCAGTACTTCAATTCAACACTCATGCCACAGCTATACTTACAATGTATTGTAAAAATAAAACATACTCTACTCTTATTACTTTTACTACCACTACTTTTATTAATAAATAACACATCCACTACACTACTTTTACTAATAATACTACCATTACATTTACTAATAACACATCCACTACCACTACTACAAACAGAAGATCTCAACTGCAAGATCATCACATTTTTAGGACATATACATTCAAACTAAGCTTTCCATGTCAGCCACATTTTTCTCAATTTTTTCTTTATTTTTAAGAAACAAAGACTGGTTCATTTCATCTGGTGAAGTGAAGTTATCTCTAAATATTGTGCAATTGAATATTCAGATCTATGCAGATGGAAAATTGATTTGTTGTAATATAAAGATTTTGTTAAATTATAAATTGTAAATTCAGGCTGAAAATCTTGCTGCATTACGGTTACATAAGGTTATTATTGTGTCTCATTCCACAAGGTTTGCTACAAATAACAATGGTGGCTTCCATGCACGAGAAAGCTGAAAAGCTCAAGTTAAAACAACAAAAATGTAGATACTTTAAAGAAAAAGATTGATACATTTTATGTGGCAGAATTTGTAACCTCTAAAGACTGCATTAATCATCACTGAAGTGATATGCAGATGAAGAAATGTTTTGTAACTATAGTGCTAAAACAACAGAATTTATGACAAAAAAAAACTCAATCAACAGAAAGCTGAACGTAAAAAAATATGTTTTGAAAAAAAAGAAAAATTACTGCAGAAAAGCTTGATATCAATTTTGTGACAGAAACAATTCCTTCTGTGGAAGGAGAACAGATACAATCTTGCAATGAACACTGTACCGTTTAATGTTCATTGGAGTGTGAAATTTGTCTTATATCTAGGCCTTAATTAATGGCACTAAAATAGTTAGTTAACATATGATTATGAGAGCTAATGCTACAGTCTACATAATATATTCATGACTGATTATTTTGTACAGTTCTTTTTGAACAATATGTGAAGAGTATATGAAGTTATCTCCAGTAATATAAGTACACTACATGGGCAAATGGACTTTTTATTTTCCACAAGTATAAAATTGTATAATAATATCATTACGTCTAGTTCTTACTTAGAAAATTAGGTTAATTTATATTGTTGTATGCTATATTCCGTTATTGTCTAAAGTAGTCTGATTTACCTGTACAACAGTGGAGAAGTTCAAAGCCATGGTTCCTTGCAGTATGCAGTTTTTTGTTGTCCCAACTAGCAACATGCTTCCTTTTCCCTGGGTGAGAGTTCTAATACCTCCTGATGTATCTGGTAACTGACAGAAGTGATGAAATAATTGTAAATACATATTTTGAGACAAAAGCAATATCAACAATTTCATTTAGAAGCTATACTGTTAAAAGATTTGCAAAATCTGACAATTATTTCACATCTGAAGAACAATTTTGAAATTCTGCTTACAACTTTTGAAACACAAGGCTTTTTTACAAATCTAAAAATATCCTAGCAATGTTTCAAACAAATGTCAGCAAATTGGATAATCTTTATATAATAATGTACTAATATAATAACGAGATGCTTCAAACCATTGCTCCCCTTCCAGTTCTTGTACAAGAATCATCCCATTCCACAATTCGCCTGTCTTTTCCACCTCCACTTACAAACGTTCCATCCTTCATTACACACACAGAAAACACTGGTCCTTCATGAGCACCATACAGAGTACGTGTTGGTCGATTACTTCCTAAACAAGTTAAGACTTATTGTCGCTAATGGGTTTTAATTCAATTTCTTCACAATTTTTACATTATCAATTAACATCAGTCAAATACTAGTGAAACCACAATAAGTTCAAATATTAGTTTCACATCACATTAAACATCCAACAAAGTCAACCTTAATCCAGAAAAAGATCAATAACTGTTTCATTTCTTTTAGCACACAAATTTTATGTGACTCAAATGTAACTGAATGTTTTACACAAATACAATACGTATTATCCTGTTGCTAGATTTGAACCTTTCAGAGAAATAAAAAGAATGTGGAAAATATTTCAAATTATAAAATCAAGAAAGTACAGAAGAAACTCTAATTCTTGGATTCTGTGATGAGGACTTTATTATGTTGCAAAGGCCAAAGTGATGTCTAACTCTTACACTCTATGTGGATGTATTTTCTGTATTCATGGCAAAGCTACTAAGACTATCTGCCACTGTTCCCAATTCTGAACTACTGACCAGATGGAAGCCACCCAGTCTACAGCACCCTACCATCCACCATATAAGCTAAGGGATTGACTAACTCTTATTATGCACCCACAATTTAGAGTGTGGGGAATATTTTCTAATGAAATCTAGAGCTCCACAACAGGGTTAGCTTGTGCCCAGATATATGCAACCCCCCCCCAAAAAAAACAAAGAACTCCAAATACAGCAATTTATTTTGTTTATAAAAAAAATTCTTAGACTAGCAGGTAGTGCCAAACAACATCTGACAGAAAACTTTCTTAGGTTTTGTACAGTCCATGCACACTGTTGAAAATTATAATTTTTTCTATTATTGCAACATGTTTATGTCAGTATTAAGCCTTCCAACAAAAACCATTTTTCTAGAATTTTTGTATTAAAATCTAAACATCAAAAATAAAAACTTATTGTACCAAAAAGATATCCTCAAAAAATCAAACCTTAGACATTAAAAATTAAATTGAGAGAAGTACAAAAAAAACAAACCAAGCATGATTTATATACTGGTTCATCTAAAACTTGTGAAACCGCAGAAACTAACCTCTGGACCACACAATGACATTGCCATTAGAATCTCCAGTCAGTAGATCACCAACATCCGTGAATGCCATGCAGAGTACATATTTGGGCTTGTCTTGTTTCTGCAATACAAAAACAAATAAATTTTTGTTTTAGTATTGCTTTTCAGTGAACATGAAATTTTGAGGACTTGTATACATTGTACATAGATGGACAAACCACTCAGAGGGTCAGTTAAGAGTCTCATCTCTCACACTATTAACAGAATCTCATGGATTTTACTCCCCCCCCACATATTAGATGATTTCTCACAGACATGAGAACCTAAAGTAAGAAAGTAATTGAACTCCAGCCACATTAGTCTTATTCAAATGGCAGAATATTATAATAGGATGTTAAAAGTAAAAGTAAGAAGAATTTTCTACACTTTTGGAATGTGAATTTTTGTTTTAATGGTCACAAGTTTCAGTGTGTGTTAGTAAAAAATGCTAGCTTACCCAAGTTAACACATAAATGAGAGGGAGTTAAGTTTTCAGAGTTACTATTAAAAAAAAAAAAGGCCAACTATCTATCTTTACTGATAAAAACTATTTTTACAGTCACTTGTTCACTTATGTTACATTTTTATTTTACCAAGTATATTTAACTAGTTGTTTAATTTCCTAGTTCTATTTGTTCATATTATAAATTTAAAGGAGTGCAATTATCATGAATCAAAAGCTTCATCATGTAGCAGTAACATTTGAGTGCTACTGTTTATGCAAGTTAGTTAGTTCAATGAATACAATGCTATTTTCTTGAAGAGAACATAACTTAAGTCATGAAATCACATGAAGTAACAGTGACTGAAAACTCTCATTAGTTCTAAATTCCAATAACCAGAATAGTATGGTCGGCTAATCAATCAAACTGTTATCATGAAGTATTTCCACCAAATTGGTTTGTATTTTTTTACTAAATTTAGCATAAAGCTACTCAAGGCTACCTGTGTAGCCATCCCTAATTTTGAATTGATAGATTATAAGGAAGGTGGCTGTTTAACTCCACCAACTCTTGGGCTACCCTTTACCAATAAAAAGTGAGATGGTCCTTTACTTCATAACACTACCATGGCTGAAAGAGCGAGTATGTTCAGCAATGAATTTGGGTGCTATGACCTGCAAGTTGCTAGTCAAGCACCCTAACACAAAAACTTTATAATCAAATGTTTTATTATCAAATACATATCACCCACAAGCAGCAACAGATAACAGACATTTCTTCAAATTCAGAACACTTGAGGCAATGAAAATCTCTTTTCAAAAGCAACAAACATCAGTGAGTGCAATGAACTATAAAATGATTTATCTGAAACTGTGTTAAGTTCAAAATCATACTCTTAGGAGTAAAAGCTTAAAATTTTTAGTGACCAAGTTGTAGAGTTAAAGACAATTAATACTGTTTATTACTCATTAACATTTCCTCAAAGTTGGATTAGTATTAAACATGTAATTTCATTGTTTACCTCTGGTTCAGAGATCAGAGAAAACCTACCTCCTCAAAAACAGAAATAAAGAAAAATACTTGAATAAAAGTTGTAGACGGATATTTCCACTGTTCTCATAAAATTTATGTCTGAAGTAACTTGGATTTTCCAATTTTTAATTAATAGCTACACATAATACACTTGTTTTAAATAAAACACAACTATATTATTTTATAAATTTTACGATTTGAATGTAAACATCAAAACCAAATACCCCCCCCCCCCAAATTAATAAAAATTAATTATTTTTCAAAAACATGAAGAAATAACCTCAAAAAGTCCTAGTTTCTTGGCTAGGGTTCCACATTCTAGGCTCCAGAAATGGATATGACCTTTTCCTAATGTAATTAATGTGCAACGGTCCATTGGGTGAAACTCTGCAGCCAACACTGTGTCGGATGAACTCTGGTAATAAATGGAAGAAAAAACTTTAAATTCTCTTAAAACAACCAGTTATTTATGTTTCTTAGAGAAGTAACTCCTATAAAATATGCAACATCTTTAATCATCCTGATCATATGTGTTTGAAAAGTCAAACATGTAAGATGAGTATTATTTTATAACATTACCTTGGTTTCAGTGATCTTGTGGCCTTTTTCCCCTTTATGCCATTCCCAAACTGATATTGTGTGTTCAGGTGAACCATCTACAGCACACAAGAGAGAACCACCATCCTTGAAAAATAAAAAAATAAGAGAAAATGTATGTTTTCAACCATCACTATACATATTTTTTATTCAGTCTGTAATATTTGTCTTGGAATAGAAATTTCCCTTATAAAATAGTTTCATACAATGTTATTTAAAGTCACAGAATTTAAATTTGAAGAAAGGTATCACAACTGAAATTTTTTTTGTACTCTTATACAAAAAGTTTATTTTCCTGATCCATTCCAAAAGCTTTGAAACACAAGTTCTTCACATTTGATGAATGCCATCACGCAGATGACTAAAAAAGCTTGTAAAACGAGTTTTGTGAAGGCTAGTTAGAGCTCCCATCAAGTCTGTCATGATGCTTGCTCTTTTGGGCACACTACTTGTCCTTTTATTCTTACCAAGGAAAATAAATAGAACCTGTTATTATTTTTCATGTCATTGACTATGAAACCAGTTGCTATTCGTATACACAGATAACTTCATGTGACCCTGTTGGCTACTATGACCCCAATACTTTAATTGGCCTACAAAAGCAATGTTATACACACAGTAATACATCATTTTTTAACTATATTGTTAGATACAGATATCAAATATTTGTAATCAAACATCTAAGTCAATGTTTCAAAGTTTAAATTAAAAATTAGATAGTAATTATTAGCGAATTCAGACTAGCAACGAGGGTTTTTTAGGAATTTTGATCATGACAAATTGCATTTAATAAAAACTACTTTCTGCATGACACAAGGTCAAAAGGACTGCTATACTAATCAGAGTTTGTCATAGTACAGTGGCACACTGTGGACATGTCTCAGTTTAGTCAGCAAAACTGTTTTGTTGATAGAAAAAACAGTACAATTCAGAAAATACAAATTAACTTTTATTGTCCAATTTTGTAAACAAGGAATCAAGATACAGCATCATTTCACTAACAGCCCCCATTGAGGCAGGGGCTGTTTACAGTCCTTATGCATTTTTTTAAATATGAAGGACTGTTGTTGTTTAGTTCCTTATATATAAACACATTGAAAAATGATTTGACATATTAAACAATAACATATCTAGCAGTTTAAAAAATACACTTACAGCTTTGGAAAATGCAACACAACAAACAGACCGTTCAAACTCTCCAACACCTATCACGTGTAGGGTGTTGAGACTAACAGAATCCCAAACTCTAATATGAGGCTGAAAATGAATAAATGAAATGTATCACTAAAAGGTAAAAAAAAAAAGAGTATTTATATTTAATCAGTTGGTTTAAGATTGTAAATTTAAACTTTTTAACATATGTGTAGTATGCACTTGTTTAATGCTTTTAGTTTTGTCCAATTTAGACACGCCCACAGCAGCCAATATTAGTAATTTTTTTGTTGTTAAATCACAATTTTGCTTTCCTTAAAGTTCTTAATAAACTTAAATCATTTACTCACATCTTTAATCATCTTAAAACTTAAAAAAAACATCTCTTTGTGTTATAAATTTTTAAACACTTTGTCACATATAAAAACGTATATGTGGCAAATAAAGTTCCATTGCATCATTTCATTTATACTTTTCAAATTCAACATTAAATATTTTAAAGTCTACACTATATTCTATTCAATAAACTCTTTACAACATGAAATTAGATTTTACTAAAATAATGTTGTGTGTTTGATGCTTTGATATTAATTAAATAAGTAGCTGCATATAAAGCACAAGAGCAAAACAAATAAGCAAATCACTTTACCCGTTCCACAATTCTTGGCTGAACATGAAAAAAAAAATTCATACTTGTTACCAACAAAGAAACAACATGAACAAGCATAACAAAATCAAATGAAACCTAGTGCTTTAAATAGTACAATACCATATTATCACTGCAAATGGAATGCATTATGGTTCTCTACCTTGAGATTTTCTTCTTCTGAAGCATATTTTAGCTGTTTATAGAAACAATAAAGGTCTTAACAGTAACACAGTTTATTATCTTTTTTACAATTAGAAAAAAAGGAACAGCAAAGTGCTTACTAATATTTAGCTACATGATTTTAGCAATTTTATTAGGATTAATGTTGGAAAGAAACTCTTACTTTGATTTAATTTTCAGAATTTTTTTTAAAAGGGAAACTTATTAATAAAATGTATCTTTTAATGATATATAAACCCAAAATTTGATTATGTTAAGGTTTAATACATACATATACACAGACAAGCAAGTGTCATGTTTAAAAATCAAACAATATACAACACATACACAATAATATTTTTCTTATTATAATGAAAAAAGTACAATATTTTCAACTATTTTGTGACATTTACACATACCAGCTTACCTTTACATCACACTACTTATCACAAGTGTTTGTAAAAACTCATTTTTCAAACATGCATTCTTTTAAATAACATTAGAAAAGTATACTGTCAATGTTTTTCATATTAGAACAATTAATTATAACGATTAAAATTTTATTCCAAAATATTGAGCATCGTAACTTTAACTAACACTAACTTACCCTTCTTTCCCTTCGGTTAACACCTGCTACCTGACCAGAAGCAAGGACGAGTTTGTTTGGATGAACTGCCAAGCTATAAAACATCACAGTAAAAACATAAAAAGAGCATAAAACCTAAGATATTTCTAGTTGTTGTTGTTTTTTTTACTCCATTACATGAAAAGATCAGTATAATCACAAAACAGAAATACCAACCACATATTTAGGCTTTAGAAAATACTATGAATTACAAAACACACATAGTAACCAATGTTAGTTTAAGAGAATACTTTATATATCATATTTTGAAAATACACTTAGTTTTATCATAAACACAGCCATACATCATAAAATCCTTAATGGAGATCCTGACATATGATCATTTTCAACCAAAACTTCCTATACAACATCACCAAGCATTTCATAGAAAAAACAAAACAATAATGCACAAGTTAATTTTTTACTGGCACTACACACTGTGCAAAGAACAAGCAACTTGCCCAGTTTAGCAGTGTTGACAAAGTTAATTAACAAAGTATTTCAATCATTCATGACATCACAAATTAGATAATTAATCAAAAGTATTAACTTCCAAATATCTTAATTGCAACAGTTCCAATACATCAAATTGTGCACATTAAAGTATAAATGAAGCATCTCATGTAAATACTTTAATATTTCTTTAAACCTTATTTACATAAAACAACAGGTTATAAACAGTGTAGTTCCTGTGTTAGGACTAATTGAACATGTTAAAAAACAGGAAATGTACAAGACAAAAACCTACAAAACAATCAGACTATAAATTCATCATTATTGTATATGTAAAAAGGTTAAAATAGTTTTATACTACGTGATCTCTGTTAGGGACTTCCACCTACCACCAGCTAACTGAATTGATTTAGACACATTAAAAGCATTCTGAAATCTACTTTATATACATATCTACTAGTTATAAAGATTATTTTGCATCATTAGTTTTAAGAACTTAAGAATAATCTAGTCTTCTAAGCTTGCCCAACATTGGGGGGTTATCATTGAACTTATAGCTGAAAATATTGAAAACTACGATGGCACCCAAGTGATGATGAATGGATTCTTATCATTACAAGTTTTTGATTTTTTGTGAACTTTATTATGATATTACACACTATTAATTAGTCCATTATATAAAGTTGGTTAATTATTTGGTTCTGAGTTATAGTAGTTAGCTTGTTTTATCAGAAGTTATTGATAATCACCACTTCACATCATCGGTGTGCCCTAAATAATGGCGCTGAGTCTGTTCATCCACATTGTACAGAACAACAACGGCAGCTATAAAATAAACCATCTCTCCTGTAGGCAGTAAGTGAAGGTTGGATCGACAATCCCTTCCCCTGTAACCATAACTGTGCTCCGTGGGTCAAGGTAATTATAACAGTTCATCAGATATACTACAAGTATGGTCATAATAACTCATATGCTAAAAAAGGTCACAGATAAAGTTACTTATAACAGTTTATGAGAACTTATCTGTGAGGAGCAAGGGGTTAGCCAACAAAAGTACTTCCAACACATTATCTTTAGTTTACGTACAGAAAATAAAATGATTGAAGTTTACAATATTATCCTTTGATGAAAAAACAAATAGTACTGAACTTGTCACAATCAGGAAAGTGTGAGCGTGAGTTTGGTACATAAAAAAAAAGAAACACCATTTGTTGATTTAATACTTGATACAGGCATTAAAGTATGTGTGTGTGTAAGTATGATAACACTGGGCTTATACGTATGTTCTGACACAAGTGGAATGCACTTTACCTGAATATAAATAAACCTGTTTTATATACTGTTTGTACTCATCCATTACTTACACAGGATGTTACCTTTCAATCACTTGGAACTCTGCTCTACTTTACAATGTCACAATTTATCAAAGTATCACTTGGTACTGTGCTATACTTTACAATGTCACAATTTATCAAGGTATCACTTGGTACTCTGCTCTACTTTACAATGTCACAATTTATCAAGGTATCACTTGGTACTCTGTTCTACTTTACAATGTCACAATTTATCAAGGTATCACTTGGTACTCTGCTATACTTTACAATGTCACAATTTATCAAGGTATCACTTGGTACTCTGCTCTACTTTACAATGTCACAATTATCAAGGTAACACTTGGTACTCTGCTATACTTTACAATGTCACAATTATCAAGGTATCACTTGGTACTCTGCTATACTTTACAATGTCATAATTATTAAGGTATCACTTGGTACTCTGCTATACTTTACAATGTCATAATTATTAAGGTATAATGTGCAACTATTATAATTACTAAATCTACTTTCTCATAGTTTCTCTCAACTAAGTACATCTAAACAATTAGCATGATATTAATAGACAGGTTGTTCAATTCTTGTTATAAAGCATTACATCATGAGACAGGTTTGTTGCTAATTGTCAGACAGTACTACATCAGTATACAGTTTCATCACTATTTGTCATAAAGCATTAAATCAGTAGACAGGTTTGTTATTGCTTGTCACATAGTATTACATCAGTATACAGTTTCATCACTATTTGTCATAAAGCATTAAATCTGTAGACAGATTTGTTATTGCTTGTCATATAGTATAACATCAATAGAGAAGTTCACTAATGTTTGTCATAAAGCATTAACTCAGTAGACAGGTTTGTTATTGCTTGTCACATAGTATTACATCAATATAAAAGTTCACTAATGTTTGTCATAAAGCATTAACTCAGTAGACAGGTTCATCAATATTTTTCACAAAGCATTATGTTAGTAAACAAGTTCCCTACTGCTTGTTATAGAGCATTAAATCAGCAGACAGGCTCAACATTACTCATTGTAAAACATTACATCAATTGAGAGATGTATTACTGCTTGCCACATAGCACTAAATTAGTGGACCAGTTCGTTGCTGTTTGTCATAAAGTATTCCCTCAGTAGACAGGTTCATAGATGCTTGTCATAACACATTAGATTAGTAAAAGGTTTCTTACAGCTTGTAAGAAATCATTACATCCACAGAAAAATTCATCATTTGTAACAAATATTAGTTATTAAATCTTCAACTTCTGATTCAAATACTCACAGAGTAATATATCAAAGTACAAGCTCATAAAATACTTAGTGTGGCAAAATCTAACAAACACAAACACTAATCACTACACTAAATGTCTGATTCCTTGTAAGAAAACATGTTCCTACAAATAGTTTTTTTTGTCATTTCAACACAATTGAGCTTGAGCAACTCACTGTTCCTGTTCAAATTCCAAGTTACCAATTTCTTTTTCTACCATTTGTTATTAGTTATGAGTTTATTACAACCATTCAGTGTGACAAACATAGTTTCAATTCACTCAGTCAGCTCCAACTACATATCTGTGGTACTGATAATAATTTACAAACAAGAATCTGCAGTATTACCAACACAATAATATTAAACTGAATTCACTAAACAATCTTTTGAATAAAACAGTATTTTTTTTTCTCGAAGCAGCTTTTATCATGTTATTATATATAAAAATGTTAGTCAAGGTTCTATAGCTGCTAATATACTAACAACATACTGAAAATTATTTATAATTGCATTTAAACATTTCAATATAGATATTTTGGGAGCAGAGCCAATAGATAAAAAAGGAGAAGGAAACTAAATGCGTTAATATCAAAAGGATACACCCACTCTAAACATAGTCGTTGTAATGGGGCATTGTTCACTTTACTTGGAGTGTAATTCTCTAGGTGTTGAGACGGGATGTGCATTACAACTGGCCGCCCTCGCAAATACATTTTTAGTATTCCTTCCTCTGTAACCACATAAAAGTTTTAAGCACCAAAAATACAAAAAATGCAGCTATACCATCATAAAATCTGAAAATAAAAAGAAATGGTTAAAATGACAAAATGAAGAAAAAAAAAGAATTATTTGGTTGTTCTTTCAGTCAGATAACTTCCTCTGAGACCTGAAAATTGTTTGATCACAACAATTACCACATAACACTTCATCCTTTGCATCGATTTTAACCATTTATTTTTATTTTTAGAAAGCTTTAAGCATTTCAGTACAAACAGTAATCCAGCTCAAAAACTTAAAACTCTGTTAGAAATGAAAGGTGATAAATAAATGATAGACAGATCATATTAAGAAGCTCTTCTTTAGATATTAGGCATTACAGTGAACTGAAATTTTTTAAATGAAAAACGGAGTAGTTTTGAATTTTATCACCTACATTAATAAAAAATTTACCCAGACAAAAAAAAAAATCTTAAAACTAAAACAGCTTTATAATTACATACAACAAACTTCTGAAATAATATTTTAACTTTACACTATCAACTCAAATTTTGTTTTTTCCTGTTGTAACTGGCTAGTGGTACAAAAACTATTAGAGAATAAATTAATTTTACTAAAATAAAGTAAATGACTTAATTAAAAAAATTATCTTCTGTAAAAATAAGTTTTTTACATCATCTGAATCACATAAACTGTGAAAACCAATGTATGAAACTTACCAGAATTTAGGCTAATTTCTTTTGTGCTGAAAAATAAAATATAATAATGATTAATTGCTATTTTGTGTGGATACTGAATAGTAATTTATAGTATATCTTACAATTTTACTTCTGCCTAATAACAAGTACATTCTAATACTTTTAAAATATATCTTATAATATTAGTTTCCTCTGATTTAATAAAATAACAGGACTTAGAAATACATGACTATGTAGTCATCAACTGTAGATTGTAATTAACTATTTATTACTTTTTAAATCATAAAAACATCCATGATGAACATACTTGATGAAAAAATAATTCTTTAAACCTTAGATTTAAAACAGATTAAAATACTAACTGAAAAAGGTAGGTAAAGTTAAAGATTATTTTAAACTTATTTAGATGCAGTATCCACATGTAGCTAACAGTCATAACAATACAATATTAATGAAAGTATCTAACACATGAAGGAGCTATATCAGTTATTGTGAGTTAGGATCGATTACATTACTATTAAGCTATATTCATAAATCTCTAAAAGTTACATAGAGAAAACTTTTAGCATTGATTTGCACCTATTTGTTCTACAAATAAAGAAAGTGGATATTTTAATGAAACCCTGATATAATGAGCCAAAGTACATGGTAAAAATCAAGGAATCTATAGAATAGAGAGGAAAAAAAATTTAAGCTCTTAGCTTTATTTTTCTCCTATGCCTATAATAATCCACAGATAAAAATGAAATATCTCGAGGTTTTACACTACAAATAAGAAAAATCTCTCTTTAGGCTGATGAAACAGTACATAACAATACATATACTGATTACTATAACAGTAAATCATATACTCTGATGCTATAGGATGACAACGGCATACTTATTAAAAAAAATTAAAAACCACACATTTTCTGGAACTATCGAACAAAATTACTAATGTATATATATACTAAAGCATCTACATTATAAAGGTGAATTTTTCTCTTGTACACACAATAAAATCTTACCCAATAAACTACTGTGCAGATATTTATTTTAAGAACTAAGTTATAGTACATCTGGATGAAAAAAAAAGGTTATTTGCTAAAAAATCATCAATTACATGAAACTTTAGAGATGAAATTAAAACAATTAGCACTGGGTTTAAAATATGTCAACTAAAGTATTACAATTATAAATACCATGGGGATATTTGTGTTCACAAGTTTAATATTTAACTTTCACCTTACTTATGGAGTTTCAATTCTTGCAGCTAGCATATGACAAAATTTACATTTTAAAAAGCTTTAAAATTTTTTAAAGAAATTACACTTAATTATAATACATGCAATTATAAATTATCACATAATCTGATTAATTTCTTCAATTATTTAAGCAATAATTATACAAAAAATAAGCTTAGTTGCGAGTCTTTTTTATGACAACTTCATGCTATTTATCTGCAAAGTGTGTGTTAAATTTATCTTGAACACTAGAGTAACAAATGTTATTACACAGCAAGGCTTATCACCACCACCACAACAGGAACACAACGATGTTTTAAAGCAAGTTAAACTTTGGCTTCAAAAATCTCTTACTAACACTGAGTTACAGTACCACCACCAACAGTCTAGAATTATGAACAAAATTTTAAAAAAAGTTCAGCTATGGCACCAGCATAAAAAAAAAGGCAATCATGAACACAAAGCATTTTCACAGTAAACATAAGTGAAACTTTACAAGTAACACTACCTGCAATAATGCTTGTAGACCAGCAATGGTAAGTAACACATTTTTTACTAACAAAATTCCCATTAGCACAAACCCAAAACAAGTATTTCAAGTCATGTATTCTAAAACATTTGATTACAGCCACAGAAGTTATTAAATGTTGTAGACCACCACACTGCAAGTTAAAGCAAATTTCAGCCTAATTATTTAATAATGCTAGTTGTAATATAGTCACATACATTTGTTAGTTATATGAGACCACCACCACCACCACCATGAACACAAAATGAATTATATATTGCTAAAGCATTCACCATCTATAAAGTTTATTGACAACAGTATACCACCATCAACACCAACTTTCACAAAATACTCCTAAGGTAATAGATTTTGTTACTTTAGCTTCACTGCCACCATTATTATACATATATTCTAGAAACAAGCCTGAAATATTAGACTCAACACTGCCAGAAAGTTTACTAACCAACAAAGATCACCACCACCATTATTATACATATATTCTAGAAACAAGCCTGAAATATTAGCCTCAACACTGCTAGAAAGTTTACTAACCAACCAAGATCACCACCACCATTAATACACATATATTCTAGAAACAAGCCTGAAATATTAGCCTCAGCACTGCTAGAAAGTTTGCTAACCAACAAAGATCACCACCACCATTAATACACAAATATTCTAGAAGCAAGCCTGAAATATTAGCCTCAGCACTGCTAGAAAGTTTACTAACCAACCAAGATCACCACCACCATTAACACACATATATTCTAGAAACAAGCCTCAAATATTAGATTCAACACTGCTAGAAAGCTTGCTAACCAACAAAGATCACCACCACCATTAACACACATATATTCTAGAAACAAGCCTGAAATATTAGACTCAGCACTGCCAGGAAGCTTGCTAACCAACAACAATCACCACCACCATTAATACACATATATTCTAGATACAAGCATCAAATATTAGATTCAACACTGCTAGAAAGCTTGCTAACCAACAAAGATCACCACCACCATTAATACATATATATATATTCTAGAAACAAGCCTGAAATATTAGACTCAACACTGCTAGAAAGCTTGCTAACCAACAAAGATCACCACTACCATAAACTGAAATACCACTGTTTTGAACAGCAGTCAACATTACCCGTGCTTGGGCAGCAAAACAGATGGTGTTTGGACATGCAGATTTAAGAGAGATCCTGTGGTCACATGTCTAGGAAGGAAAAAAGTACAGTGTTCTTTCACAAAATTATTTTGTCATGCATATACAGCATGCTATTACATAATAAGATTCTATTTATCCATTTACATTTTTTTTTATTCACTCAAAAAAAAACTATTACACATGCATCTTCAATAACTTTTGACTGTCAATGATAATATGTTGCTTACAGTTTCCTAGGGATTTTAAACATCAAGACTTTAACATACTGTATATAAATTACATGTTAGTTAGATAGCTTTGATCAAAATATGGTTGAACTTTGATATATTTATAAAGTGAAACATTTTAAACATTCGTTGAATTTAATGAATAAAAGAAATGTAATTTCTGAAATTATATCATCAGAATGTGCTACTTGATGTATCAAAATTGTTTCTTCTTAATATAATTTGTACTTCAACAGTTTGTGAGTTGACCCCAAGAATAAAATTTGCAAAAATAAAAGTAGAAAATGTGAATATTGGCTCACAGTTTGCACTTCAAAAGTCTTTCTATTTTAAACAAGGACACTTCAATAACTGTAACATAACCATATTATACTGCAAATACCAGCAACAAACACTCAAATTAACCCTGAGAGTTTAAGTCAAAAAAAAAAACTTTATATACTTTGAACGAGATCCAACTGGTGAACCAATCTCCTGACTTCCTGATAACCTTTTCATGGCCAAAAGGTTAGAAGTGGATGCTGAATAACTGCGACTAGGAGAGGGTGTATGTCGTGGAGATGGTGTTGGTCTAATAGAATTCTGGGAGGGAGCTGGGGAAGAGCTAGGAGAAATGGAGTTTGAACTCTGTCCTCCTTCACTCTGCAAAGAGCTTGTGGAGCCTGCAGGATAATGTGACAGTCTTTTTGGTGTGTACAATGTTCGAATGAGGTTTTTCTCTTCTGTGTTTGCTGAGGAATGGTGATTAGATTTTGGATCTGATAATTTTGCTCCATGGTTTCTAATATCAGTGGTTGATGGTGATCGTTGCCTATTATTTCCTTGTTGAAGGGAAAGTGCATGCTGGGAACTCTCTGTCCTATTTCCATCAAGCATTTCATGTACATTGCTGGCAGGAGTTCTGTAACTAGGGCGTGATGAGGAAATTACCTTTTTGGGAGTGGAGATGCTATTGTTTGTAATGACAACAGCTACAAAGGGGAGAAAGATATTCTGTTGTTAATATATAAAAACATTTATATTTCCTTTCTTGTTTATATTTAATAATCAGACATATTTCAGAATACCACAAATACATCTAACTTAACCTGGTGGATACTTAACAGTAAAACCTACTCTAGTGATACAGAACAAAGTACTAATGTATTTCTGGGAAAAAAGCACATAACAACAACATAAGTACTGGTATAATCATATAACAATTGATAAAGTCAACAAATTTTCCATGTTGCAGTATTTTCTAACTCTCAAAAACTTGTATTATGCACAAACAAAGGGATAATAGTTTAAAACAATGGGTAATTATTCTTATTTTACTTATATTATTGTTGCATGTTAATACATCAGGCTATATTCTTAAGATTTCACAAAGTTGAATAGCACTGAGTAGTATTTATACATATATATAAACATTATTCAGTCTCAGTGTAAATATAATACTTTATTTGTCCCAAAATTATTCCACTAATTAATGAGTTGAATTTTATTAAAGGGGTTAATTTTGAATTTTTTTACACTTTATCCAATAAAAATGAACTGAAGGCATTATAATTTATACATAACCAAACACAAGCATCAAAATACATCAAGTTCATTTAAATTTATCAAAGAAATATAGCACATTAAGTAAGCTTGTACTTCCTAGCATATGTAAAGTGTCAATTATTATGTATATTCACTATTCCTATACAATCTACACATCCTTCAGTAGGTCTGTGATATTTCCTGATTGGCTTAAGGCTATGCCAATCAGTGATTGCCTTACCGGCCTATGCTGATCTGACTCATTTTATAAGCTATACTGTTTCCTATAGATCATTTTCCAGATGGTTCTGCTATGATTAGTGTCCAGGGAAAGCTTCAGCAGATATTTCC